GAGTCGGGGTGAGTGTGGGAGCCTGGACCCCAGGGAGAGTCGGGGTGTGTGTGGGAGCCTGGACCCCAGGGAGAGTCAGTGTGTGTGGGAGCCTGGACCCCAGGGAGAGTCGGTGTGTGTGGGGAAATGGCACCACTAATATTTCACTCCATTCTTTTCAATAAGCAGTGATAATTTTGGAAGTAATTGTCCTATGTCATCTTGCAAATGCAGTGGGCGGCAATTAAAGTATATGTTTCAGCTCAAGAGCACCTTACTGATGGAGCGAAATGACGGGAGTCTGGCCTTCCCTGTGTTGGTGTCCAGATTTGTGGAAGTGTCTGGGTTTAAAGTTGTTTCTTGTGTTTCTGGGAGTTTGGGAGATGACAGTAAACTCCTCTATAGTATCGCTCTGACCTTTGTTTGTTTACAGGGCTAAGTTTAAGAAAGTTTTTTTGAAAAGCCGCATTGATTGAACGAAGACACAAGTCCAATTCTTTGTAACCGTGGACTTGGGCTCCCGACCTTGCACTATTATATAGTTTAAAAAAAAATCAAAAAAACCACATGAAAATTTTAAGGCTTTCTTTAATACTTATAAAGCTGACTTGTTAAAGCTTTGCTGTGATTCTCCTGCATGTTAAGCCGTTTAACCATCAATCGTTTTAAAAAAAATTAAAAATTTATATATAAATATCAAAAAAAATGTCAATGCATCTCTACGGAATGTCCTTTTGTTACGTGATTTGAAAGCATGTTAACCCAATCGCATTCTAAAAAATAAAAAAAAAAATAAAGGCTTTTTTTCCCAAATTATTCTGTTGTAGTGTTCACTGTCTGCTCCTTCAAACAGAAAAGAGCCAGTGCCCCTGGTAGCCAGAGCCCAGGGACTGTCAGCACCACACTCCTACACACAGGTCTGAACACAATCCAGGCTGGTATTCCAGTGCAGTACTGAGAGAGCCCAACACTCTCAGAGGGCTACTGTCTTTCCAATGTTAAGTTAAACTGATGCCCCCTGCTCCTAGCGCTGTCAAGGATGTGTGCAATCTCTTCCCCAGTGCCCCGACCTTACCCAAGATCATTGACACTGATTACCTGGCCCTGGCCGCTGGTGGGATCTTGCTGTGTGCACACCGGCTGCAGGAAATGCGACAGCCATGACTAGAATTCAGAAGTGCTTCATTGGCCATAAGGCACTCTGAGATGTCCTGAGGTCAAGAAAGGAACAGGAATTCTTTAGAAGGGGTCTTGGGGAGCTGTCGGGATTTTTATTTTTTTTCCACGCTTGCGACTGAATGGAGATTATTTTACCCGTTGCAGGCCCTAAAATCGAGAATGGATGAACTGTTGCCTTTAATCCCCGTGCTGGAACAGTATAAAGCTGACGCCAAGTTGGTGTTGCAGTTTAAGGCGGAGGCGACGAACCTGACGGCTGTATTGGCCGAGCTTCAGGAGGAGATCGGGCCGTTCGACTACGAGGAGCTCCTGGCCAGAGTCTCCAATCTGGAGAACAGGTTACGAGCCTGCATGCAAAAATTAGGTAGGCCCCGTATCGCGCGTCTGAAATGGCTTATGTGGAATTGGCTGACACCCATCCCCACCCCACCTCGGAGGTTGAGGAGGGGTGTTGCTGAATCGCGGATTAGTGGGGGCCACAGGTTCTCTGAATGCCACACCCCCCCCACTGCCCATCCTCCCAACACAGGCAAAAGGAGGGTAACATCTACTCACCCCCAAAAACAAAATCAGCATTTCGCCCAACTCCTTCCCTGACCCTTCATGGTCACATTTCCACAACTTCTTAATAACCCCTTCTGAGTGATGGGGGCAAAATGGGCTAGGGGCATTGCTAATGGCTGATGGACCCTTGAAGATTTTTAGCCAAACCTTGTTCCTGATCATGGTGAGGCCTTTGCAGGTCTGCAAGGTGAGAGTATCCTGGGGGAGGCACGGAGGCGAGAAGGGATCATGGTCAGTGTCAGTATTTGAGTTTGTTGGGATCTTTCCCTGACCACTCACTTCAAGATGAGATGTGTTCCCTCAGTACTGACTGAGGCTGGAATTTGAGATTCCCCTGCTCCCTGACAGGAAGGGGATGATTGATCACTGCATTGGGACAATGGACACGGCCCTCTCATTCCCAAACTGGCCGGCTGCTCAGGTAGATCACCACAGTGAGAGTCAACTGTGAGGGGCATCGCGATGGGACTGCTGCATTCAGGATGGTGTCTTTTCTGGCTAGGAACACACAGTGAGACAAGGCCAGTGCTGCTGTCCCCCCCGCCCCTCACTGCCAGTGGGACAATTTCACTGTTCACCGCCCCGCCCCTCACTGCCAGTGGGACAATGCCACTGTTCACCCCCCGCACCTTACTGCCAGTGGGACAGTACCACTGTTCCCACTCGCCCTCACTGCCAGTGGGACAGTGCCCAGTGAGGAACCAGGTCACAGTGTCCAATTGCCACCCAGAGCTTCATGACATAAACCAATTGCAATGCGCACAGAATCATCCCACAATCTCACCATCAGCTCGCAAACAAGCCAGCAACTGTGATCCCACATGGGACACAGCCCTCTCCCATCCCCTTGGGCCACTGGCTGGGAGCTGGGGTGGGCGGGTGGGACGCGGTTGTTTGTGAGGGGTGGAGAATTGTAAACTGAGAGTTTAGCCACATCTGCAATCATTGCCCATCACCACAGTCACACTTTTCCATCAATTCCAGCATGCGGCAAACTGACGGGAATCAGCAACCCATTCACCGTGAAAACATCTGGATCGAGGTTCGGTGCCTGGATGACAGATCCCGCCTCACCGGAGGGGGACACAAAGGTATGTCCCGGCCAGTACCAAACCACTGCTCCCTTCAAACTGAGCTCAAGCTAGTTAATCTCACTGAACGGTGGAGTGGTGCCAGGGTAGCAGACAGAATGAAAAATAGTACGTGGAGGAGAAATTAATCAGAGAGTGGGCAAGGAATTTGCAAAAATAAATTGCTGAGTATTTGAAGTAAGCGTCTGTCTGAATACAGAGGGTGCAGCGATGAAGAGTTGATGACCATCTGGAGTGTGGGCGTTTTTGTTTGGGATTACCACACTATTTGATGGGAATTTGAACTGCACTTGACAAGGAAATTATTTTAAACTTTTTTGTAAGAATGCTAAGTAGAGACTTCTGTATGGAGACAGGAAGGATGCCAGTATAACCATTCAAACCTTCACTGCCTACTGTACAAAGCACAGGTTAATGTATGTGTATCTATGAAGAGAACAGACAGGTTAGCATTCAGAGAATGGCCCTGTGACGTACATAGGACAATTGACAGGTAATCAATGTGTGAAAAGAGAACTGGGAGGAGATGCAAATACGTGGGCTGGCACACAGTGGGAGGCTCATTTTGAAAACAGTGGAATTGAAAATGAGAGTCTCGGTTAGAGCAAGCTTGGAGCTCTGTGACCAGCTCCAAGCTCTGTGTTACATTTAGGATCTGGAGCTACTGGAGAAGGTGTGAAAACATCGACAAGATGATTCGCAGGCACACAGTTTCTGTTGTAACACAAAAGATTGAACAGACTGGGCCTTTCTTTGTTGAAAAAAGAAGGCTTATTGGTGTGGGGAGGGGTGGAAGAAGTAACTGCCATTTTCCAGTCCTCTGGGACCCTCGCTGACTCCAGTGATTCCTGAAAGATCACCACCAATTCCTCTACAACCTCCTCAGCTACCTCCTTCAGAACTCTGGAGTGTAGTCCATCCAGTCCGGATGATTTACCCCCACTTTCAGACCTTTCAGCTTCCTCAGTACCTTATCCTTAGTGAAGGCCACTATGTTTACCTTTGCCCTTGACTCTCTCGAAGTTCTGGCATGCCACTGGTGTTTTCCCCTTCAACAGGCTGGAAGAGCTCTGGATTTGTTTGTCGTACATTTTCCTATTGGAAGAATATACTTTGACTGTCCTCATCTTCTTTGACAGTAGTCCATAGTTCAGCTACTGTTTCTCCTCCCAACCTCTACCTTTGCTTTATTTGACCCAGATCCATTCTTATGCACTGATGTCTTCCCCATTTGATGTTTCTTCACCTATATAGTTTATTGTGCCTTTCCAGAGTCAGTCTAAATTTTATGTTACAACAGACACCCTCCCCTAAATGTCCTCCCATTGTCACTTGATCTCCAACCTCATTACCAGGAGCATGGCCTCCTTTCTCATTGTATTAGACATATACTATTTGAGGAAACTCTCCTGAACAGGCTGGCAGAATGCATTCCCCTTGGCCCATTATACTGCTCCTATCCCAGTCTACATTCTGATAATTAAAGTCTCCAATAATAACTGCACTATAACTTTTCTATCTTGCTGTAACTTCTTTGCAGATTTGTTCCTCTCCATCCTATACACTAGCGAGTGGTCAATGGAATATACTGAGAAATTTAGTTGCCTCTTTTCTGTTCATTAGCTCCAGCCAAATAGATTGTGTCCTTGACTCCTCTGGGACATTCACGTTCTCCAACAGGGCAATGCTCTCATCCCCATTTCCATTGTGTCAAGCAATATTGAACACCTAGTCCTGTCTTAATTTGAGCCAGGATTCTTATCACTGCAGCATCACATTTCCACTTGTCAATTTGTGCCTGTACCTCACCAATCTATTTACCACAATCCAATTGTTCACACACATGCCCTGGAACAATGATTTAGACTTACTTTCTCTTGCACTCTGAGCCCACCGAATAACCTACTGCTCTTATTCTGGTGCCATCTCTTTCTCCCAGTACCCTCAGTAACTCTCTATCCAATTATCTCCTGTTTCTAACACTCCCTCCCAATAGCAAAAACCAATCAGCCCGGGCCAAGTTAATCAAACAGAATTTGAACCACAGAATGAGATAGATTGGATAGAGCTGACGACCTCAGTCAGCGAGGTAGATTTTAAAGAAGGTCTATGAAAAGGTCAGAGAAGCAGTGGTTTAGTGGGAGAATTTCTAGACCTTGAGACCGCAGTCACTGAAGTCAGGCCCACAAATGGTGCCGTGATTAAAATCGGGATTGGGCAGTAGCTGGACGAGATGGAGGAGGGTAAAGGCAATGGACAGAACCCTAACCTAGTGGCTAGCTGCAGCCTCTCCGATGGTGAGGTTATACAGTCAATGCTAAGAATGGAGCCACATAATCCAGGAAATAGTTTCATGCAAGTTCCTGTCTTTCCTTTTTCCAGCTGAGTTCAGGTATCTGAGCAAATCCAACCTGACCCTTGCCATTTCAGTGAATTCTTAAAGCTATTAAGCATACAATAAAGATAAAGTTCCTATAATCCAACCTGACCATGAGACTGCTCTCTCATTAAAGAAAGGAACAGCTGGTAGTGGTTTAACCTGAGGGTCATCAGGTGAGGAGGGAGTTAGAGAAAGAAAGTCCTTCATGGTAACCTCAGACTGTGCAGGAATTAAACCCACACTGTTGGTGCCATTCTCCATCACAAACCAGCCACCCAGCAAACTGAAATAGGTAAACAACAGCAATTCAACAAAGCAAAAAAGGAGTGTCAGCGCTGAGGGACCGTCACACTATTGGGAGGGTCAGCGCTGAGGGACCGTCACACTATTGGGAGGGTCAGCGCTGAGGGACCGTCACACTATTGGGAGGGTCAGTGCTGAGGGACCGT